CAATGTATTAAGAAACAGGAAGGTATCTCAAGAAAAAAGAAAAGAAAATAGTGCTGAAGTTACTCAATCAGCTGCAAGATTTACAAGTCAAGATGTCTGTCCGAACCTAGATTCCTTAGGCAGGTAAGTTAGCAGTTGACTGAGATTTTTTGCCAACCAGTTGACATACATCCTCTCGGTCATCTTCTACAGATAGATATACATACATACATACATAGACAGGAACGGAATGATATATATATATATATATATATATATATATATATATATATATATATATATAGATAGATAGATGGGAAAAGAATGAGATAGATAGATAGATAGGAACAGAATGATATATATATATATATATATATATATATATATATATATATATATAGAGAGAGAGAGAGAGAGATAGATAAAAAAGAATGAGATAGATAGATACATACATAGACAGGAACAGAATTATATATATATATATATATATATATATATATATTTTTCTATGAAAATTTCTCGGACATTTAGGCCGGTAAATGTTATTTAATACTGTTTATTATAAACAGAGCATTTACTTAAATACTTGTATCTATAAAAGAACGTTAAACATAAAAATGTCTTTAATAGATAGATAGATAGGAACAGAATGATATATATATATATATATATATATATATATATATATATATATATATATATATATATAGGAACAGAATGAGATAGATAGATAGATAGAATGAATGAATGATGTTGACTGGGATAGATAAAAGTAGACTGTAGATATATATATATATATATATATATATATATAGAGAGAGAGAGAGACTTGATAGAATATATGTACAGGGCGGTTTCATAGTTTCATGATTTTGATCTAATTTATTAAAATCATAACTTCGGCGAACTATTCTTTCAGCAAAATGAACACCTCCCCATTATGCTCTGGTAGTAAGGGACATGCCTTAACCAAATCTTTCCACGGCGTTGATTCAGGACAACATCTAATGGCCACTACCTTGACCAGACCTAACACCAATGGATTTCTTTTCCGGGGGTGGAGTAAAGAACAAGGTTCATGAGAGAAATCCCCACACATTGGACAATTTAAAAGAGTACATCTCGGAAATATTTATTAATATTGATGCAGATCGGGATAGGTGTCGTGCTGTGTGCCACAATGTTCTGGAGAGGTCCTCAAAGAGTGTTGTAATGTTGAAGGAAGACATTTTGATCACTTAAGAGATTAAACTGTGCTAAAAATGTAAGTAAAACGTTAAAGAAATGTAGATAAACAGATTTGAACAAATATGAGTGTAACAAATTAAAATATAGTTAATAGAATGTTAGAAAAATGTACAATGTATACTCACTTTTGGCCCGCCACATATATATATATATATATATATATATATATATATATATATATATATTGAACAATAAAATATTAAAAAATTAAAATCTTCAGACTCACTGGGTTGTATATTAATATTCTTTCGTTTTTATTATTATTTCATTTTGATTCCTCGACTAGTTTCGGCCAACATGGTCATCATCAAGAGAAAAAAAATTTGCTTGCTGGTAGCAGTGAACTACAGAAATGAATGTCTTGATGGAGAAAATGAACTTTTGTCTGTAGTTTTCATTTGTTTTTTATTTTTTAACATGAATTTTGGTCAGTCCTTGTGTGGGTCAAACAGTCTCTTAAGTTGTTATTTAAGAGCTGGATGGATTCATGCTGCTCTGAATTCCCTTGGTTATTTTGACAGTTTTATTAATTCCTGGAAAGGGGATGTGTCTCTGTTAAGTGTGTGCGTGTTATTTGTTTCTTAATGAGTGATTGGGTATGATGTGTGTAAGCGTGTATATTCGTGTGGGTGTGTGTATAAGTGTGAGACCTCAACACCTCCGTAAACATGTCTGTCTTGTGTGGGCGAGAAATATATATATATATATATATGTGTGTGTGTGTGTGTGTGTGTGTGTGTGTGTGTGTGTGTGTGTGTGTGTGTGTGTGTGTGTGTGTGTGTGTGTGTGTGTGTGTGTGTGTGTGTGTTGACTATCATTAATCCGAAATCATTGGGTACCAATGTGTTTCGTTTTCTTTAAAATT